CCTCTATCGATGTATGCAGATGTATTCAAAAGCAGTAATCTGTCAAAGTAAAATTTGCAGATGTTCATGAAAGGTATGAAGCCTTCGGCATAGCCGAAGACAGCGCTGCTCTTACTTGTTTTTTGTTCATTTCACCACACTTGCATCTTCACTTCTTAAGTACATACTATAGTTGCTATTATTCCACCATAACTTCAAAATTAATTTTGCGCACTTTTTTTACCTTAAAGGTTCACGTTAAGTTTTTTTGATACTTACTTATGTATCTTTGGTTTCAGCCTAAAACTAATTTATACTACGCTTGGGTCCAGCACCACTAAAATAGGGCCGGTTCCCACTTTTCCCAAGGCCACAGCAATTAGGTGGTAGTTATCCTGTTGCAAAAATTTTTGTTCTACGATTTTTTTATATTTTTTTTTGCAAATATTAGAGCGTTTAATCTCACCAATTAGTTTTAAATTTTGTTGCGATTTCACCTCGTTGGTTGTTTTGTAGGTTCGTATTTGGCGAATATGCAAGTGAGGTATGAAATTTAGTTGCCGCGTATTCCAATTTAATTATTTTCGCACGCTTTTTTATTAATAGGTGTTCGATGGAGGGTAAATGGCGTAGTGATATATGCTAGTGACCGTCCTGGAGTGAAAGAACGCTACAGCACAATCACGACATTTACCCACCTATGAATGCTCCCACTCTAGTATGCAGCCAAACTCTTGCTAGTTTTTCTTGTTTCTTTGCATTTCCATAACTTTTTGATTCCAGCCTCTCCATCTCCTGTATGCAGGCGCCTACATCACATGCGAGATCGGTAAGTGCTAATACCTAAGTTATATGTACAAATGTACATTCATCTATACATACGTAGTTAAATGCACCCACGGTTAGGCACGGGCATATGTGTTATACACATGAGAGCAAGAGATAGGTTGGAATATTACACATGTACATATTCTTACACTTTTTCTTTGAAGGTCCATTTCGTTTCGTATCTTTGAAATTTTTCTATATCCCGAATTTCATTATTCACCGCAAACACGCCAAACTCCATAAATACTAGGTAGATAAATACGTAGATATATAGATAGAAGTGAATTAATGAGTTTTTTTTGGATAGCCTGAATTTTCATCATTTGTAGTAGTATATAAACACTGAGCATAATTGAATATAACGTTTTTATAAGAAGCTCTGTATATTGAATTCTTACTAAGGAAATATATGAAGAATGTGATTAGGATTCAACGAAAAATCATGGTTTGCTGATTTTTTTATATTGGTGTGGGTGTTGCACTGGTGCAAAAGGGGGAAAATGGGTATCGACACTGATTGACGTTACTGACTTGGACATGACTTATCAATAGACGTACGAACTAAGGTCAGGTTTAGGGGACTTTGCCAATTGTAGGAGTCACGGCGAAGTCCAAGGCTACAAGATCGTAGATGGGGTGGGCTGACTCCACCTGACTCGGACGGGCCTCTTCTATCTCGTTTATATTTCTACTCTCCCGGTTTTTCAGTGTCTTTTCTCTAACAGGCATGATGACAAATTTTGTTTATGTCAGCTGCAAGTAAGGTGGTTGGAGGTGACCCCCCAACCGACGAGCTAGCTCGGGATGCCTGAATGCCAACCAACCTTACCCCAATAGCCAGCGACGTAACATACTGGAAAAGAGGGCGTGGCAGCTCCTATACTAAAATTTTCATGTTGTATATCTCTTGAAATATTTGTGTTAGAGCATTGGAACTTGCTGACGAGATAAATAAAATTAATTCCATACTCATGGGAAAATATGGGCGGTATTGGAAAAGGGGACGTGGCACCTCCCATAGTCACATGACCCCTTTAATTCCTTCTGACGTGGGGTGAAACCCGCGGGTGAAGCTAGTAAATAATAAATAAATGGGGTTTGAAACCTACTTTATTATTTAGGTTGAAGAATATTTCATTTCATTATCATCAATTTATATGAATTTAACAATACATTAGCGTGTACATATCTGATAAAGGAACTTAAAACATGTCGAAAAGAGATGCAAAAAAACTTAAATCAACATATGTATTGTGTGGCGGAAAGAAGTTCATAATACTAGTGGCAGAAATAAAAGAATCTCCTTATTTCAACCAGTTTAGTCTATATTTCGTTTCTTTATTTAATATATAAATTTTTGTATAAAATTCTACCTCATTTTATATATTTAACTGCATTTATAGGGTTCGAACGATACTATCGATATTGAGTAAGCATCGATACTGAGGGTATAAAAATGAGTACTTTAATACTCGATACCTTATTTGGTGATTTTACTCGATACTTTGCAAAGTACTCACAGTATCGAATACTTTTTAAAAAACACACATTTTAAATTTTTTTCTTCCATTGGCAACCCAATTTTCTTTGCTTATATGGATTACTATCATTCAATTTTGTCCATCACTTAAGATAACTGAAATTTCGTGTAGTCTGTTGCATAACGTAAACCAAATAAATTAAAGTTTAATGGCCTTATTCATAAAAAATTAGGTAGGTTTAAAGAGCTTAATAAAATGACATCATACATACATTTTTCAGTTTATAAACCTTTTTTTTATGAATAAGGCCATAAAACTTTACGCAAAGTTCACGAAAATGCAGAATTTTTAGAAAATTTTTGGGTATGCAGTTTTGTAACCTATTCAACTTTACGTGTAGCCTACTACCGTTAACTTTTAATTCAAACTTGCACATTATTATACTAAAATTTAATAGGCTACAAAAATGCATACCCAAAAAGGTAAAAAAAATCGTAATAAAATTTTAAATTCGTGAAAGTATATATATGTATGTATATGTGTACATTTAACGTTAAAATTACTTCTAACGTGAAAGTAAGTTCTGCAATGAAATAAAAATCAAATATTTTCAATTTTAATTGTTTTAATTTCAGGAAATAACTCGATATACGATTGAAGAATAAAATCATTTTAGTACCCCAAAAAACGTATTTTAATGAGTCCGATACTGAGTAGTATCGATACTTTTTGCCTGATACCTTTAGAGTATCGATACCATGAGCTCGATGCCATAATGAGTAATCAGTATCGATACCAAAGTCTCAAATTTCGAACCCTATGCATTTAAATGCGCATTTCAAAATTTGTACAACAATTATAAAAATGCAAAAACAATTTGCCAAAATTTCGAACTTTATACTCAGAATTTTTAGAAAAATTTTTGGTACACAATTTTATAGCCCATTAAGTTAGAGTAGGGTAACATGAAGTTTCATGCAATTACAAAATACCGTTGATTTTTGGGAATTTTCTAAACGATGCTGGGCATTTTCTTCCATATAAGCAAATTGCCGAACATACTTTGTATGGAAAAAAATGCGTGACACCTCCAGCAAAAAAATTGTAAAAATCAACGTTACTTTTAGTCACTTGAAACTTGCACTTTATCCTCCTGTACTTTAATGGGCTATAATTATAAAACTGCGTACCTAAAATTTTTCTAAAAATTCTGAGTAAGAAGATTGAAACAGTTTGAAACAAAAAAAATCAAACCACACCAAGCAATCAATATACTCACGACACTATGGGCCAAATACAGTAAAACTGCGTTTTTAGTTTTATAATTTTTTTTACTAAAACTTTATAATTTCAAAGATATGTTAAATTCTAAAAAACTATTTAAAAAATTCAGTGCAACGTAGAATAAAAATGAATACCAAATAAAAGATAAAATTCTGTAGGATTAAAAAAAAATTAAAATTTTTCGGGCTCGCAAGGACTAACAGCGATTGAAATGCCCTTTTAAAAATTTTATTTTTTTAAGCTAATAAAGTTAGAAGGACTATATTCGAGGATGTTGTCAAGTTTATATCAGTCCTTAACATATAATTTTTTCAAAATTAATATTGCTAAATTTCAAGGATATTCAAGGATTTTTAAGGACATTTTCAATACCTTATGCACCAAAAAATTTAATCTATTCTTTCTCTACGGAATTTTCTCTTTAATTTGATGTCCATACTGTTTTCCTAAGTACACTGCACTAAATTTTTTTAAAGCATTTTCTGAATTACTCATATCATTCAATTTTCAAAGTCCTTTTAAAAAAACCTGATGTCAGAGAGAAAAGCTAAAAACGCAATTTTATACTGCATATATTTGGCCCATGGCTTCGCGAATATATTGATTTTTAACCGACTTCCAAACAAGGAGGAGGTTATCAGTTCGTCGGAATATTTTTTTTTTTTTTATGTATGTTACTGCTTAACTTTGCACCACGTCAATTTCAATAATTCTTTTTGCAACGGAAAGGTAGTGTCTCAGAGGTGGTCCCATACTAATTTGGTTTAGATCCGATAATTGGATCATGAAATATATAGATATACATATATTTTTTTTAAGTCGGTTTTTTTTTGCTAAAAATTACTTGTTTGTGTGTAAAATTGCCTGTCGCACGGTGTTATGTGTATGTATAATTAGCTGGACATATCGAGGCCTAACCGCCAAAAGGGGGCGTAAGCGACAACATGTCCTATTTCCTGTTTTTGACAGAAATCGATTACTTACCACCATACGCACCAGCTGTCAAAATTTCAAAGTCCTACGAAGTACCGTTACAAAGTTATTGCGAAAACAATTTTGGCGTAAGTGCTTAATTGTACTCTGTTTACATTTTTTTGTGCCCGCAGTGTCGGTTAGGCCTTTTTCTCCGTGAACAATTTTTCATTGCAGAGGGGAATTGTTACATTTTTAACCGACTTCCAAAAAAAGGAGGAGGTTATCAGTTCGTCGGAATATTTTTTTATTTATTTTTATTTTTATTTTTTTTTTTATGTATGTTACCGCATAACGTTGGTGGTCCCGTACTAATCTGGTTAAGATCCGATCTGTGGATCATGAGATATATATATATATATATATTTTTTTTATATGAGAGTTGAATTCGGTTTTTTTTTTGCTAAAAATTACTTGTGTGAAAGTTTTGAAGTGCCTCTATTTTTCTTCCAAATATGGACTATTTACAAACAACGGTAAATTCATATATTTATGGTAGATTAAGATTTTGAATCAAAAGTATAAAAATAGAATACATGTACATGGTCTGATTCTGTGCTTGTTTCTTAAAATATTGCACTCCAATAAGGCAAAAAAGGCTCATCCTCTGCCCTTTGATGCTTTGTCAGGCGAGATGAGTGCCCTGAAAAGCAGAAGGTTGCTTAAAATGCCAATATTATAACAAGATATAAGAATTGAGTTAAAAGAATACGATAAGAATAAAATAATTGAGTTAAAGCATCAGAATGGTTTTTTAATGCAAAAAAATGTTTTTGAAAATATATCTTTTGGCTTAACCGCCGCAATTGCGAGCTGTAGCTTTTTTTTGTGGCGGCAAAAAGAGCGTAAGCGACAAAATCACCTGTTTCATTAAAGATGGGCAGATAAAACCACCAGTATTATATACCTAACATCAAACGTAACTTGTTCAATGACCTTCACGTTAGTATCTACAGTAATTGCCGTGCTAATAAAAAAAGTAAGTACGTAAGTAAGTAAGTAAGTAAGTAAGTAAGTAAAAGTATGTACATATCTACTTTGTCTCATAACCAATATACATACATTCATACATATGTACATACATACATATAGCTGCTTTTGCTTAAGATTATATTTTCTATCTAGATCCCTCTCCCCATGTTCGTTCTAATTACATTTATGTTATTCTGTTTTCCTTTATCTTCATTTTTATCTTTATACTCTATCGACAACAAAAACGATAGTAACATCCAATGAAATATCAATAACAAAACCGATAAAATAT